TTCAAGAATGAACTATTTTTGACTAGTTTAACACTAATAGACTGCAAAAATCAGTATCTTAGCGAGTGAAAACATCCTTGATCTAGTCAATATATCTAATACTTCTCATTTCATTTCATTTAACTTATTTCTGGACATTTTACTTGTTTTAAGTCATTTTATCTGGTGAAATTGTCATTGGCATCATTGGTTTCATTGGCAGATCATCTTACCTGTTTGAGACAGGTAAGATGATATAGATAATTTGCTTATTTTAAGCAATAATGCTTAAAACATATCTGATATTTCTCATTGTGAGATTGTTGTAAGAAAATTATAAGATTATTTAACTTATTTCTATTCATTTCATATCTTTAAAAGTAATTTTATCTTATGAAAGTATCTTATGAAAACTTTCCTCTTTTTAGCATTATTTTTAAAATGAGCAAAATTATCTGTATTATTTCTTATAAGATAAATTTACTAAGAAATGAACTAAGAAATGAATAAAACTAAGAAATGAATAGAAATAAGTTAAATAATCTTACAATTTTCTTACAACAATCTCACAATGAGAAATATTAAATAAATGGGTTAGATTTAAGATGTTTCCACTCGCTAAGATGTCATTTTTTGCAATGCATTATTCAATATCCACTAAAATCTTCAAAAATGTACTCATTTCACATTCAGAATACTACCACCACCATGTTTGAGTGTGGCTATGGCGTTCTTATGGTGGAATGCTGTGTTAGCTTTATGCCAGATGCAACAGGACCCATGTCTTCCAAAAAGTTCCACCTTTGACTCATCAGTCAACAGAATATTCTCCCAAGAGTCTTGGGGGTCATCTAGATGTTTTGGGGCAAATGCAGTGGTTTGCTCTCCTATGGATGCCATTTTTGCCCAGTGTCTTTCTTATTGTGGAATCGTGTACATTGACCTTAACTGAGGCAAGTAAGGCCTGCAGTTCTTTAGATGTTCTTCTGGGTTCTTTTGTAACCTCCTAATTAAACCTGAACAACTTTGGTGAACTAAACATGACTCAACAAAGGAGGAAATGTTACAATAACGGATAAAGGCTACTGACGTGAAAACAGGGCCGTACTTCAGTGCAGGGGCGGAGAGAGTTCACTAGGTTACCTTAACAATACAGCCTTTCAGGCTAACAGCTGCTTCTTGTCACTCTCAGCTCAATAAAGTACAAAACATAAAACACTCTCTCTTTCTATCCCTCTCTCTCTCTCTCAATCAGTCCTTTGTTCTATTTGAAGTAAACTATGTAGTAAAGTTTAAATGTTATCTTTATTTTAGATTGTTAATTTGAAGATACCAATTTTGTATACAAGTCCTGTATTATAAGTAATAAAATGGCACCACTTTTTTAAAAAAAACCTTTTCAGTTTAATGCTGAACGGTATGGTCACATTTGGCAGTGATTAGTAAATTCTGTTTGACTTAAATTAAATTGAAAACAGCACAAAAAAATGACAGTCATTTTGTAGTCGGCATCAAATATAAAATCAAATATATATTTCGACATCAAATATATATTTTGCAATGTATGAAAATGGCCAAAACCGGGTTTGTCAAATATATATTTATATTTATATCTATTTGTATTTGTTATTATACTTTTTTCAAATGTATAGTTTCACCAAAGGTTACAGATAGACCTAGATATACATGCACTGAATAGACAGAACTGACTTTGCATTAACCATGTACGTATGCAGTAAGACACTCACACACCATGTATTTCAAATAAACAAGATATCAAATCATAACTGCATTTTCACAGAGTATCAATACCTACAACACTCGCTTTTGTCATATTAAAGGTTCATTTGCTAATAAATCTAAAAACTAAGATACTGGAACACAAGTTCATTTCAAAGGTGTCCAAACAGTGAAGTGCGCTAGAATTTTGGCTGTTTTTATGCATTTTCAAATGTATTTGATAAACACATTTACATACATTTATTTGTTCAATTGTACATTTCTATGTGTAATATTTACCCAAACATAAAAAAATGCATTTTAAAATGTATTTGGTTAATATGGCAATACTGAAGCACATTTTAGTGTTTGAAATGTATTTCAGCTTGAATTGCAATACATTTGAAATGTATTTCAAATATATAAAAATATTCCAGATACTGTATGTCCATATATTTTACTCCATGTGGGCAAAAATGCTCCAAAGCTGATCCATTTTGTCCTACATGCATTTTTACCCCAAATGTGTCTGGATCCTGTGAATTATGAGATTGTTTAGCAGACAACTATGTGAAATGCTACATGCTACAAACAAAGCTAACGCTCCTGCACTGAAATGAAGTCTACTGTTAA